AGTGAGGGAAGAGTGCGTACAAGAGCATAAGAGAGAGTGAAAGAGGGTAAGTGTGAGAATGTGAGAGTGAATGAGAGTGAGAGCATGTAAAGAGTCTGAGAGAATAAAGAGGTTATAATGTGAGAGAGTGAATGGGTGAAAGCGTGAGTGTAAATGAGAGTGAATGAAAAAAAGAAATAGGGCTAAAGTGTGAGAAATTGAGAGAGAGTATGCACGAGTACGAGAGTGAGAGAGGTGCTACAAGATACAGGCATCTCTCTTCAGTTCTCAGCATAGTTGTACAACCGCATATTCGGAGAACAGAATCATTTTTGTCGGAAAAGATTGCTGTTACGAGGATTTTGTAACATCATGTATATGACTCACACACGTTGTGTATACTCGCATTGCACTCTGAGGTGTACGTCACGTTGGTTAAGTCACGTGTCCTGTACAAAAGCATCCACATGGAGCGTCCATGTCATGCCACCCACCGCCACGTGGTCTGGCTTGGAATCAGTATACATCATTCAGTACAGCTACAGTCCATGTATTGCCAGGGCTCTAAAATGTAAACGTGTAAGTTAGAAAAGTTAGAAACCAAACGTTTACAGTTGGCAGATAATAAATTTTCGGTTTCAGGATAAGTTTTTATTTTATCAAAAAGGAAATAAGTACGCAAAAATAGCGACGCTGCATGGACAGTTCACCTTTAACGGTTGTCATGAGCACGTTGTTTGTGTCTTTCTGAACCCACACGTGTCACTGGGATATGCATCAAATAAATATGGCCATTCAGTGCTAACACAAACCCAGGCACGTCTTTGGGTTGTGCATTGCATATGTATACTGATCATGTGATGGCGAGTTTCTTTATCATATACTGTTGAAAGTCTATATTAGGGCGTTCTTTCGTTACGGCGACCCTACACGTTCAGGAAAAATATCGCAACCTCTCGTCTTTTTACGAAGGCATCCTTCCTAATGCGGTGTCCTTCTGATGCCATGTGTTCTCGCTACGGTGTCCTACCTTATGGCGGCCTCTCGTTACGGTGTCCTTCTGATGCCATGTGTTCTCGCTATACGGTGTCCCTACCTTATGGCGGCCTCTCGTTACGGTGTCCTTCTGATGCCATGTGTTCTCGCTATACGGTGTCCCTACCTTATGGCGGCCTCTCGTTACGGTGTCCTTCTGATGCCACGTGTTCTCGCTATACGGTGTCCCTGGCATATGGCGGCCTCTCATTACGGTGTCCTTCTGATGCCATGTGTTCTCGCTATACGGTGTCCTTATGGCGGCCTCTTATGGCGGCCTCTCGCTTACGGTGTCCTTCTGATGCCATGTGTTCTCGCTATACGGTGTCCCTACCTTATGGCGGCCTCTCGTTACGGTGTCCTTCTGATGCCATGTGTTCTCGCTATACGGTGTCCCTACCTTATGGCGGCCTCTCGTTACGGTGTCCCTACCATGTGTTCTCGCTATACGGTGCCCCTCCTTATGGCGGCCTCGTTACGGTGTCCTTCTGATGCCAAGTGTTCTCGCTATACGGTGTCCCTACCTTATGGCGGCCTCTCGTTACGGTGTCCTTCTGATGCCACGTGTTCTCGCTATACGGTGTCCCTGGCAAATGGCAGCCTCTCATTACGGTGTCCTTCTGATGTCATGTGTTCTTGCTATATGGTGTCCCTACCTTATGGCGGCCTCTCGTTACGGTGTCCTTCTGATGCCGTGTGTTCCCGCTATACGGTGTCCCTACCTTATGGCGGCCTCTCGTTACGGTGTCCTTCTGATGCCAAGTGTTCTCGCTATACGGTGTCCCTACCTTATGGCGGCCTCTCTTTACGGTGTCCTTCTGATGCCATGTGTTCTCGCTATACGGTGTCCCTACCTTATGGCGGCCTCTCTTTACGGTGTTTATCCCTTTGTGTGTTTATCCTTTGAGTCATGAGGTGAGGTGAGGTTAAATTGGGTTTAATGTCGTGCTTGAGAATATTTCGCTCATATGACGACGTGCATGCGTGTGTATGTGTATGTGCGGCTGCTTGTACTAGCCCAGACTGAAGCTGGTTTTATAGTGCTAGCTCACTGAGATACTTACACTGTCTGTATGCAGATCCTTCAATCACTGTTTCGCCTCTTTTGACTCTGAATATCAGAACTTCTATTACCCAGTGCATTATACCTCCTGTCTCCTCTCTACAGGACTGCAGGGACTGACATGGAATCACAGAGGATGCCAATATGGAAGAGACCGTGGAGGTTGTTGTTGATGACCTGACCTTCTTTCATGTAGTTTTTCGCAGATCGTTTACATCATATATGTACATGCAATTGCGCGGAGACCAACCAGTCCCTATTTACTTAAACTAATATGCAAGATTTGAAACAGGTTTTGAATCTAATATAAATTATAAGAGCCAAAACAATTAATATTAATGAGAAATGGGGCCACAGGTGGCCCAGTCTTCTAACGCTCTCCGGTTCGCTATGCAGAAGTGCGTCCTTTAGGCGTGGCAGAAACCTGCAGTCGAAGGTTCGAATCCTAGCTTCTGTTTAAGCACTAATGATGTTGATCACTGGATTTTCTGGTCCAGACTCGATTATTTACAGACCTCCGCAATGAGTATTGTAGGTGGAATATTCCTGAGTGCGGCGTAAAAATAAACTCCCTCACTCACCCATATGCTTCTCATATTAACAATACCAGCAAATAATTTTGTTTTAAATTAAAATTTCAAAGGACTTACTTCATACAAAAATGCAAAGTATTAATAGCTGATAGAATGTTTTGTCTTTATACTTGTTACGTAAATTACTTCAGACACACTATTGTTAACATTAGACTCTGTTAACCTGGGTAAGAACCCTCTATGATATATTTTATTTTTTATATAATTAAAAAGAACGCTTATATATTTAAAAGAACGCAAATGAAGAAAAGACAAAACATACTTGGAAACAAACATCTACATTTCCTTTCATGGAATAACAACCTAATGAAACCCTATACTTCACCATAGTTTTTGTTGTTTGTTGTTGAACGCCGCACTAAGCAATATTCTTGAGGGGGCGGCGGCTGTAAATAACCGAGTCTGGACCAGACAATCCAGTGATCGACATTATGAGCATCGATCTACGGAATTGGGGTACAATGATATCAATCAAGTCAGTGAGACTAACCACCCGATCCATTAGTTGCCTCTTCCAAGCATGGGTTGCTGAAGACCAATTCTATCCCGTACTACAGCAATGCCCTGAGACAGACAAGCAGGAAATAACATTGTACTCACGATCCATGTCAACCGTGCATCTGTGAGGGAAACATTCCATTTCACAGCAACCGGAAGCAGCTAAAATTGTCAATAAACAAGAATAATCCTAGTCTAGAATAATCCGTACATTACTAGGTGAGGTGAGGTGAAATTGGGTTTAACGTCATGCTTGAGAATATTTCGCTCATATGACGACGTGCATGCGTGTGTATGTGTATGTGCGGCTGCTTGTACTAGCCCAGACTGAAGCTGGTTTTATAGTGCTAACCCACTGAGATACCATGCCGCAGTGAAGCATGACTTCCCCACTCAGACACGTTATACTGACTCCGAGCCGACCAGTCCTTGTTGTACCCATTAATGCCGAGCGCCAGGCAGGGGCCAACAATTACCATATTTTAACGTCTTTTGGTATGACGCAGTCGGGGATCGAACCCGCGACCTTCAGCTCTCCGGGCGGATGCTTTAACCACTACACCACCGAGGCGGTTCGTACATTACTAAGAGCTAAGCATATAAAATATAAGTTCAAACTTGATTACAGAAAAAAATAATGAAAATAGTTTATTATGTGCAGTGCCAACACCTTATGATATGCTATTATATGATTGGGGGCGGTGGGGTAGCCTAGTGGCTAAAGCGTTGGCTCGTCGCGCCGAAGACCCGGGTTCGATTCCCCACATATGGGTACAATGTGTGAAACCCATTTCTGGTGTTCCCCGCCGTGATATTGCTGGAATATTGCTAAAAACGGCGTTAAACCATACTCACTCACTCACTATTATATGATTGTAATTACACATAGCATGGACACTAAAACAGTTACAATTTGTGTTGTACTTGTAGGTTTTAATCAATATAAATTCAGAAAGAGAAATGTTGAATCGTTTTAAAGACAAATAAATTCCATATCTTAAACCGGGATTTCATAAATATAAAAAATGCGATCTAAATTATCTCTTGCGTTTACTCTACAAGTAAACTGTCTACTGTTTTTGGACAATACATGTACATAAAAATAGCCTTTTTAATAAAAAGAAAAATAACTCCATTTCTTCACCATATCTAGCCAGTTCACTTTCAGAGGACAACACAGAAGAATACACCCCCCACCCAAAAAAACAAGCAAAACCCAAACAAACAAAACCAAAAAAAACCAACCCATACGCATGCGCGAGACAGTTTCAATATTCATTAATAAAATAAGTCATGTTGTTCTTTTACTCATGAAAATCACACGTTAGTTGGTTGGGTGTAAGTTAAACCAGGGATAATCTACAACGTTATATAGTCTCCCTGGTTAAATAAATGAACCGAAGGACATCTACACAGGATGAAGAGTTTCGCCTCTATAGTTATAGATACATCATCATGTGAGTGGGGAACGAGACCGCTTCAGAGCTGGGGTGAAACCGGCCTGGCAGATACTGAGAGCTGGCTTCAAGGATGCAAGAAAACAGCAGAGAACTGTGTATGATTGAAATATAGATTTATCGACTTGTGAGTCAGCGTTCTTGTTCCGTTGACTTCGTTGCATTGTTCTGAATATAAACAAATAATAGCACAAACTGTCTGGAAATGTAAGTCACATTGATGTTAAATGTTATAACAGCGGGTGTATCGGGTTTTACTAAACAGGAAATCTATTCAAACTGTGACCATTGGAAGTTGTCATTGGGAAAGTAGTATCACTAAAGAAACTCGCTATTCCAGCCAGTGACGTCACTCCTCGTAGCCCACTACATTCATTCGTCACTCGTTAGCTCGCGGTGCTTGAGTTGAGAGCGCGAGTGTTACGGTGGCTGACTTATATACCAATGCATTTGTGAATGTTTCAGTGGACACAGGGAAGTCTGGCCACTGGTCAAGTGAATACAATCCATTTGGATATATCAAGCCGCTATGTGGCTACAGTCACGGCGTGTATTTTTGACTGTAGCGATTTTTCTGCACGTGTATCCTCCGCCGTTGACTGGGGGGCTGCAAATTGCAGGTAAGTTTGTGCTGATCAGTTCCAAAGTGTCAACAGTAGCGAGAAAACTTAGTTTCTGAATATAGATATTTTCGTTTTTACTGCCAGGACGTCTATTTTAACAAACGATCATAAATTGTATACCCGAGTCCTGTCATTTTAAACGCTGTGCATAGGTGGCCGAGAAAATTGTTGGACAGGTGCGTGAACTAATTCATCCACCAGTGTAGGTCTAGCTCATATTGTTCACATCTGCCCTAAATTCCTACAGATCGTGTGTGACAGATCTTCGTGGGGACAGTATGCTATTCTGTCTACGTGGGCTTGGTTAAAGGCAATGTTATTTGAAGGCCGCCGTCCAGGTTGAAGTTTGTACACCTGTAAAACTTTCGTCGGTTTACCTGTGTCTCGGCTCGACGCGACGACGATGTTTTGACGGTGCTCTACTGCTCGCGGCCACTGCCTGGTGCCTGCTCAGCCGTGAAATAGCACCCTTTGCTGTTATCCACAATTAACTAATGCCGATGGGGCTTGAACTACGAAAACTAGGCCTAGGTTAACCGAATGTCACACCTTGAACCACCGAAATGTTAAAAAATAACATTTTTATCAGCTTTGGAGAATGTTTGAAAATATTGACCGCGCCTACAAAAGTTACATAATTTGGCCAAAATCGTGAATTTTCTCATTTTTTTCAAGACATGTTCTTTGGAGTGTTTGCTATTTGTTTTAGTGCAGTATACTTGTATGAGAGCTATTCACATTGCGTCTGACAATCTCCAAGGAGGGCTGTCGAACAGTTTATTGTTGTCATAGCTGGATGAGAATGTGTCTATTTTAGACCCTGGTTAACTCAACCGTGTCAACATAAAGATTCGCTACAATGTACAGCTTCACAGTGCAACATTGTGCTATTTATAATGACTATATGTTGTAGGATTGTAAAATGTTTACTAGACAAAGACATAAAACAGTGCACGCTTATTAAAATATGTGTAACGCCCATGAAAGTGGTAGGTTTCTGTGGTTGGCATATTTAGAGGAGTGTCTCTGTATGTGTTTAGGAGGTTTTATTAGTCTTTAGATTGCTCCAAGTACTGTATGAAGTTTGTGTGTATTAGATATGTACAGGTATATAGATTATATGTTTATATGTACATCTTATCTAGAGATAATGTTGCACATGTTATATAGTAACTAACACCAGTTTCAGCTATTTTCAGTGTGAAATATGTTTTCAAAATTCTAAACAAAAAGAACATGTACGTGTAATATGCTTTATATACATGTTTGTATCTGAAACAAACAGTGACAACAGTCTGGGATAGATAGCTTGTCATCTTTAAGTATTTATTTTCACATTTTATATGACAAAGTGAAAAGTCTTGCCTTAGTCACATTGACACACATGGGGAACAATACAGAAATAGTCTGCACACAGGTAGCACGCTCTATCACCGCTAGACAACAGTAAGAGGGAAGATCATGTCTGCCTGGGTACAGTGTGGGGAAGGTCAAGGGGTTTCTATCAAATTGAGTTGCGTAAAACACATGGCCATACTGGACAGCTGACAAGGCTGGTCGTGGGATCTATACATCCGAGGCAATATCAACACTATCGTCCTACCTGCATATAACAATAGTGTATCAGGAGCTTACACACACATATCATGCCTATTTGATTGGATATATTGAACATTGGGCTTATGAACATATGACTGATCCAAATAAAAATCCCCATATTTTAAATGTCTGCTCACCTTGTGTTGTGATCTCAGTACTGTGAGTATGGCTGTAAGAGTATTGAACAGTTAAATGTGTGCCATACACAAGTGGTGGTTACTTATTAATGGATGCGTTAGGTTTTCTTCTTGTATGGCCGGCCATGCCAGCTGTTGTATATCGGTCATATATCCACCTGCTGCTGTGTTTATATTCAATATGAACTTGTACATTTTTAAACAACTCCTATATATAAGCTCAATAAATGTATTTCTTGGTACTACTGCAATACGGATTGTCCAGGTTGCCTCTGTGACTTTCCTCTGTTATATTTCCTTATTCGCCTGATTATATTTCTTCTCGGACTGTGTCTAAGTTAATATTTTGGATATCACTTAATTTATACATAAATTCATTGGATATTTATTATGTTTATAAATACTTTTAGTGATATAGATCATTGTTAGGAAAAGTTGCAAGAAGTGCTGAAATTATCAAAATAACAGATGTTCGACATTATCAGCAAAAATGTTTCCTTTTTGTTCAGAGAAGAAAATATAGATGTATGCCATAGAAGCATACTACTTAGAGCAGTCTATATTGCATATGTGTATATTTTAGTGCAGAATTGTCATGTCTCAAAGCACTGTGCTGTAAGAAAACAATGGCCTATAAGTCTTTTTGATTGGACATGTTTAGGAGGTAGAGGAGTGGCCCATGGGGTGAAGTGTTGGCTGATTATGCTCAGAGTCTAGGTTTGGATTCTTCACAATATGAGAATGTCACTTCCCTGTCATGATAATTCTAATGGGTGTGAAAACATAGACCAGCTACTTAAGCTACCAGTAAATTAGATTAGTGTTGTTTTTGCCTAATGTGCAACTTAAAATAGGATGAATCTGCAGAAATATTTCCTAAAGACATAGCTTTTTGACTTAGAACCTGTGCACAATATTATGTAAGGTGGAAAAGTCTGCATTGCAGTGTTGAGCTGCTGTTATCATTGAGCAGTACATTGTTCAGTGGGAGGTAAATGCTAACAGTACACGGACTGCATGTCCCAATGTTTCTGACACCTTGACGACTTGGACGGTGGGGGGCCTTAAATCAAGGAAGGGTTCACCTGTCTGTGGGAACATCTTGCAGGCCTTTGATCTCCTCTAATGGGGAGCAGGGCTGATCTCTATAAATGTTCCCTTAGCTGTAAACAATCCCCGGATTCATGCCTGAGATCATTGTTCTCTTCCACCCACGTGAGAGGTCATGTTAGGTTTCATTTTCATTCAAATCTAAACTGTCATTTGACAAAGTTAGCCCATTTGAAAACTGAAATGTGGAGTGAAGTTTCTAGAAATAAAATGCATTTTTTTTAATTGTTCTACATAAATTTATGGTGCGTTAAACCATAATCCCAATGTTTAGTGTTTGGAAATTGTCTTTGAGAATGTACCTGAAGTACTAACCTATTTCTGTGGTCATTAGTGCCATTAGTTTCATGATGCAGCCATTGTATGTAGTTGTATCGATACAGCCATTGTATATATTTGTATCAATACAGCCGTGGGATATATTTATATCATAATTCAGCTGTGGGATATATTTGTATCATGATACAGCCGTGGGATATATTTGTATCATGATACAGCCGTGGGATATATTTGTATCATGATACAGCCGTGGGATATATTTATATCATGATTCAGCTGTGGGATGTATTTGTATCATGATACAGCCGTGGGATATATTTGTATCATGATACAGACATTGTATAAATTCGGATCATGATACAGTAATTTTGGGTGCAGGTACTCTAATCTGTATAAAGACACATTCGAGTAACCGATTGGTAATTGATCGGAAGGAACAAACCAATTGTCACCAATGATGGATGGTGTTGGCTGAACACGCTCCCGACAGTATAAGCTACGGTAACCAACCCAGTGTTAAACAAATTACCACCCACAGTTACCATTATTGCTTGCCATAGGTTGGTAATAGCAGTACAGGAAAAAGTTAGTTGACCCATCAAACTGCCACATTGTCTGTATGTGGAAATTTTGACACAACAGTTCTATTTATGGTAGCTGTAAAGTTGACTTATATTTTCTTTCAACATTTTGATGTGGTTATTTAACTGTTATCAGGTTTGCCAGGTAGAGGTGGTCAACAGTTGGTGTCGTGTTGACACTGTGCCATAAATAGCCAGGAAATATCTCACTTATCAAACCTGGATCAAGCCTTCTTTCATTACGCAGTTCAGTGTGTGATGCTTGATGTTTATCTTGGACAGGTTGTCGTAGCTTGTCTAGCAGTGTTTCAGCAACTCCTTGACATAGAGTAAATACTGGTCGACTAGTCATAGACTAGATAAAAATACTATTAAGGACTTTATACCTGTAGGCTGGTCATAACTGCTAAATACTGGTTATCGATACACTAGTCATGGACTATTAACTATTTTTACCTTGCCATACAAGGGTCCAGAGGATGTCAAAGGAAAACTTGAAGGTCTTATGTAATAGTGTACCGGTAGTATATTGTGCTTTCAGAAGTAATAATCACATCTAGAACAGAAGCTCTTTTTTGTCGAAAATTTGGTACAATGACTGTTTTGTGGGAGACACAATGCATACTTTTTCTTCATCTATTATGTAGGTTAGACAATTCAGCGCCGAGTAAAACCGTGTTGGTAGACTTGTCATGAACAAGTTGTTATAGCAATTATTCCCCCAAACTTATACAATAGTTAATTTTGACAAAGTATATATAGGGGCATTATAACCAGGGTGCACTCTATTGTGTTAACAAATAATAAAACTGATTTAAGAGAGCTATTTTTATAGGTGTTCCAGCCTCAGGTTCTGTATGTTTGTGCTGTTTCTTCCAGGACGTCACCTGGTCCCCGGTAACTTGACCCTGTGACTGGTATATTATCTTATCTCTGGCTAAAAACATGCTTAATAATTTATGGGACTCGTGTTGTATAGTCATTAAGGAAATAGACACTGAGATAAGAAGTTCAGAAATATGCTAATTACGGTACTTGAGAAATTGAACCAATGTGACTTGTCAAATTTGATAATAAAATCACTTCAGAATTAGGAAGACAAATAGCTGCTATTTAGAAAGCGCCAAGGTATAATATACCACTCAATGTTTGATAAGGACAGATGTCATTCTATTTATATATATACACCGGGCATATAATGGGAATCAGTTTGTCTATCACAGAGAGATAAAGAGATTACTATCAACGTAGTAGTACAGACGTTGAAGTGTCTGCGTTGTTGTGATTGTGT